GATCCATTTGGCAAAATAAATCCATTGGGTATCCTTGTTGGTCTTCAGACAACAATTCTGATGGCTAAAGAACCAAATGGGACAGGCATGGAAAAAAAAGGAGAAAAAAAGCATTTTATTAATTTCCTCTTACGTTGTTTTTATTGTTTTATTGTTTTACATTGCTATTTACTGTTACATTGTTTTATATCTCAATTTCTTGTGTTGTAAAGCACTTTGTGTTTTTTTTTTATCTGTGAAAAGCGCTATATAAATAAATTTTACTTACTTACTTACTTATTGTATATATATAATTACTTTCACAAGTTCTGCAGACTGCAAATTATTTATCAATATAAGTGGAGATATTAGACATAAAAAAAAAACCCCATAGAAACATAGACATTTAGTTTTCTATTTCATTTTTAGGGGTTAGAGGATGGTCAACCAAGATTTAGGATGAGGTGGCATTATCCTGATCATTTTTGGGTTTTTAAGTAATTGTTTTCACTGTGTGCAGTGTGAGCAATTTGCATGTGGTTGGTTTGTAGTGCATGTTGTCCTCTAGGAACTGTACTGTAGGTCACGTCCTCTAAATCTTTGTTTGAAATGAAGTGAAATAAAGTTTCTGATCTTGCCTTCTGTGATAGTGTCTTGTTTTCGGTTCTCTGACATATCACAACTTAAATTATTACAGTATTGAGCCTCTTACTACCCTGGGGCAGGTGGGATAGGAACAAGCTCTGTGACTCTGTTGGATAGTTGTTATGATCCTGGTCATAATTTTGTGTATTGTGGGGGTGGTTTTATTAATTTTCTTCAGTTTTTTTGCTTATATAAGTTCCAGGTGGAAGCTGACCATTGGTTTGGGAGACTGAATGAGGCTGGCTATTAATTGGGACCCGTCCAGACCAGCTGTGCCCTGCCTATATGTACTTCCAACTTCCAACTAGGCTTTGTATGTTTAGCTGTATATCGTTGTGTGATTGATTTTCTGCACTTAAACAAAATAAATAAAAACAAGATTAATGATTTTGTACATATTGTAAATATTGCAAATGATCACTTTGAAGAGAAAAGACCTGGTAGCTGTATTCTTTTAAAATGTTTTCTCCTGTTTAGTCTAGGAAGGCATTTAAAAGGCCTGTATTTTGTTTGTTGTTTTGGCTATGCCTGCCGTGAAACTCTCTACCTCAAAAGGAAAATAAATGATTCTGTTTTTTTGAGATATACATTTATTCTTCTTGGACTCAGGGATGCTAGACACCATTTTCCCTTGCTCCACTGTCTTACTCAGAATTTTAAATACTGAAAAAAAAACTTTGCAAAAGTTTGCAATAAATGAATTGTTTCAACATTGGTTGCATTCTGTTGATAGTTTTACGTCATTTTGGAAGGTTATAAAACATTCTCGGTATCTTTCTGAGTATTTTTAACTAAACAAATAACTAGGGCTGTGGAATGCAGTGAGGAATATATTACTGCATAGTGGTTTATTTTCTGTTGATCAATTAAACTGTGTGGGATAATTGGAAAAACATCCTGTGACTGGACATCACCGTCTTTATATCAACATTTCAAGTTTTCGATCTTGCAATAACACAGTTGCACCACATGAGGGAGGCATCCTGCACGTTTTCTGGTGCATCAGATTACAAAAAAAAAAAAAATCTAAGACACTCTTTGCGCATGAAACTGACACTGCATCTTGTTAAGTAGAGTTTCATTCACCATACTGAGTCAGTAGATTTTTGGTCCGTTTGATAGTAAAACATTCCTAACTGCACACTTCACGGATATTTAATTAATGGCTTTGTTACTACAGCTTCTTGTTGTTGTTTTTGTGGCATTTGCAAGTAAGTCTCAAAATTAAGATGTTCAGTATAACTTGTGGTCTCTTTACAAAAAGTCATATTTTCCTTCGGTTGTTCGCCAAGGGCTTAGAATAGCAACAAGTCACCAAAAGCAACAACTGTTTAACTGTTTTAATAGCCACGCAATTATTGAGCGAGTTCCTGAAACTCGACCAGAATTATGTGCAGTATTATCTGGAAAAGCAGACATTAGACTTTAATGAAAATAACTCAAACTCTTCAGACCTGCTATATTTCATGCGAATCTTTATATATTCATCAAATGTTTCATATGTTTGAGTAACAACAGCACTTTTCTATTCTTCTCCCGCAGGTTTCACTGAAGGAGATGGTGTGTTGCCTGATGGTCTGAATGCAGCTGTAGGAGAAACGGTGATGTTCAATACAACACTGTCTCCAACAGAGAAACCGTTTCAATCTGTGAACTGGGTTTTTAATTCCACTATAACTATAATAATCGTAATGAACTCAGAAAACATTATTGGACCTGAGTATGTAGGCAGGATCACCTTCTTCCCATCTACTGCGTCTTTGGAGCTCAGGAGTCTCACTCTGAATGACACTGGAGAATACAATGTTAACATTATACAAGATGGACAAATCCTGAATGACCGTACTACTCTGTTGATATACGGTGAGCAGATGTAGAAATTCAACAGCTTAAGTGTTTTTGCAATATTTAAGCAAGTTTACAATATATCGAACATGTAAAACACGTGTAATGATTTGTACATGTTTGTTACATCTCTACTCACTGCAGTAATGCATTCTTGCAATACTTCATCTTATTCTTAAGACTGTGATATCAAAGTCTTTAAAAAGTGGCTGTAAGAAACTGAATGGTTTATTTATTTTATAAGGTAGCATTGACCCCTATACTATAAAGAACGAACTGAGAACTCAATTAATCTAATTTATTCTGTTCAGAATAGTCAGAATAGAGTTGATATTGTCAGTTATGTGAATTTAAGTATTTGAAGGTTTTGGTTTGTACAGTATTTCTTTTAAGGTTTAATTATAAATATATTGTTTCTATTTTAGGTTTAGCTGCAATTGAAGTTTTTTGTAATTTTAATGCTTATTTTCTATTGTTGATGCCAAAAAATACAACTATTTTATTCTTGTTTTTCTTTCAAAGAGAAAGTCTCCAGTGTGTTGGTAACTTCCAGCAGCACAGACTTGGTTGAGTTCAGTGGTTCTGTCTCTCTGTCCTGCTCTGCCTCTGGATCCTCTCTCTCTTTCCTCTGGTTGAACGGCAGCTCTGAGGTTACAGCAAGTGACAGAGTTCAGCTCACTGATGGAGGCTCCAATCTGACTATAATCAATGTGACCCGCTTTGACCAGGGACCATTCAGGTGTCGTGTGTCCAATCCTGTCAGTACTGGTACCAGTGATCCAGTAAACCTCTCCATCAGCTGTGAGTTACTGGGATTTGTTTATTTTTTTTAATTATTAGGTGATTTAAATAATTAAAATCACACTCCAGTTAGTTTCATTTAGATGGTTTTGTTTTCATACATTCAGTTCAGTTCAGTTCTTTTTTATTTCAAACGTATACATTCACCAACGTTTCATACAGAGTAAGTCGATTTATTTATTGTGATATAATGTGGAATGATTTGGCTAATAATGTCACAGTTTCACAATAAGCCAAACTGAATGGTATATACCAGGGTTGTCATACAAAGGCCTGTGGGCCAGAATCAGCCTGACAAAGATTCCAGTCTGGCCCATTGGATGGTTTTGGAAGGTGAAGGAGGACAGAAATTTTGGACTATTAACTGTTATTCTTTTTAGGTTTTACACCTTTTTGTTCTGATAAAGAACTCCTTCAAGGGCATTCACAATACACCAAAGTAATTAAATGACAGATTTCTGTAATTTTACACATTACTTCTTACATTTTAAACCCAGAGTCAAGCTGAGAGATGTCTTTAATGTACTACACTTTATTTCTTTATCATGTGAAAAATCTTAAACATGCTGTTGAAAAAGCTCCTCTTTGTCTTATACTATGACACCTGATAAATTGTGTAAGTAAATCTCTCGACACTGGCTGAAATTGGTGTTTCACTGGTTTGACCCACCTAAGAGCAAAGTAGACTGTAGGTGGCCCACAATTTAAAAGAACTTTGAAATCCCTGCTGTATACCTTTAAATGTTTCATACAATTAACATTAACTTTTCTATGTCCCCGATACATTTAGATGGCCCAGAAAATATCAATTTGATATTATCTCCGCCACAAGGATACTTTGCTGTGGGGTCAGACATCAGCCTCACCTGCTCAGTTGGATCCAGACCTCCTGCTCAGTTTAAGTGGTTTCTGAATGGAGATCCACTGTCTGATACTGGATCAGAGCTCAGACTGATGAATGTTAACATGAGTAACAGTGGAAACTACAGCTGTCAGGCCTCTAACAACAAAACTCTGAGCTCTCAAACATCTGAGCCTTTAGCCATCACTGTGCTGGGTAGGTTTGATTTATTGTTAAATTGTGTGATTCATGCATATGTTTTTGACTAGAGCTATATTCAGATAATAATTTCACACATATAAAATATTTGTGGAGATAAACAATACAGAAAAACAATTTTCAAATAAAATGGTTTCCTCATATACTACAGGCTTTTGACATATTTGCTCATGCAGAAAAAAACTGGAGCTGATAGAAAAAAGAAACTCAGTCAGAGTGAAGGATTTACAACAAATCACCCTTTAACACAAGGAAAATGTAATGAAAAAGTTATTATGCACTTTTTCACGTGCACTTTGACTGTGATGATTTTTATTTTAATTAAATTTCTTGTGAAGCTGAGAAAAAAAAAGGTAGATCCTAGCAGGCAGGGCAGACATGGAAAGTTATAACCAAGTGTCCGGCATAGTATACAGGAACATCTGTGCCGACTATAATCTCAAAACCCTGAGGTCAAATTGGAATACCTTCCTTAGGATATTTGAGAATAACCAAGCAAAGATCCTGTGTAACCTTCAGATTCAGATGAACAGGTGATGGCTAACCAACTGGACAGACGAGTGGTGGACAAGTAGAGGAAGACAGCCGTAGTGATAGATGTAGCAATTCCAAGTGATAGCAAAATCAGGATGAAGGAACATGTGGAGCTTGAGAAATACTAAGGGCTAATAGAGGAGCTAGAGAAGGTGTGGAGGTGGAAGGCAACAGTTGTCTCAGTGGTAATTGGAGGACTCAGGGCAGTGACCCTTAAACTGTCAAGGCAATCGCAGGGAAAACATCCAAGATCTCTATCCAGAAGATCACAGACCTAGGAACAGCATCGATACTACACAGGAGCCTCAAGCTACCAGGCCTCTGATAGAGAACCCAAGCTTGAAGAATATAAAACCACCCACAGGGGCGAGAGTGGACTTTAATGTATTCATGTTATAATCTTATCACCCCTGCCTCCAACTCCACATCTTCATAAACTTTCTTATAGAAGTAGCATCCTTGGCACCACAAAAAGACATAAATAAAAAGTTGTCTCTCTCTGTCGTTGTCCTCGTCATCTACTCACAAAACATCACTAATATTTAAATAGGGTAAAAAAAGTGTCTGGTATCATTTAGTATTAAATTGGTATTGGAGAAAATAGCCAAATTAAAAGTGTCCGGCAAGTTTAAATTGAATATTAGATGCCTTGACCTTGAAGGTGAAGTTGTATGAAAATTTCAAACAATAATAAATATTTTTAGTATTAGATAATATAACTCTAATTTAGTGTTGATCCCTATCCTGCACATTGGGAGTTCGCCTTGCAATCAGAAGGTTGCCGGTTCGAGCCCCGGCTTGGACAGTCTCGGTCGTTGTGTCCTTGGGCAA